GGATATTAGACAGCGAAGGACAGTGGTTTCTGAGAGATAGAAAACAGATAAGGTGAGCTTTGATGATTGCCTAGCTTACTGTCTTGAGTTTCTAGGTTGTAGCTAAGGAAGAAGGAAGGCAGATGAATTGGGTCAAAACCTCTAAGTTGAGGAGATGGGGCTGAATCCAGCAAGGCCAAGGCAGAGTTAGCAGGAAGGCCTTATTGGGTCATTGTCTGATGTCTAGTGTTTTATCTAGAGAGGAGATGGCTCTACAGAGATTTGCAGAGTATCCCTTGGAATACTTAACAGAGTAGTGATCAGTGCTTGGCCAGGAGAAACTACCCAGGGCCAGAGAAAGATCCATTGAAAGAATTAGGGGAAACATTGTGGGTGCTCACACAGGGCTGGGAATAGTGTCTTTTCCTAACAAGTCATCTTGAAAATCTGTTTCATGGGGCATTGGTTAGACTATTCAAGAGTCTTACCCCGTTAGTGTGAAATAGTTTGCTCCAGACCCACCCTAACAAATCTTAGAAACAAGACCTAAAAGGATCAGACTGCTTCCAAGAATCATAACTGTATTCTAGAACAAAGCTTAACAGTATTTGTAGGAATAAGAAAGTATCTACCACACAATAATGTAAATCCACAATATCTGGCATCTTTAAAAACTTACCATTTATTCAAAGAAATAGGAAAAATTTGACCTGTAGTGAGGAAAAAAATCAATAATATTTGTAGAAATAAGAAAGTATCTACCACCTAATAAGGTAAATACACAATGTCTGGCATCTTTTAAGAACTTACCGTTCATTCAAAGAAACAGGAAAAATTTGACTTGTAGTGAGGAAAATAATCATTCAGAACCCGCTCAGAATTGACACACATTAGAAGGGAAGGAAGGATGAGGACTTTAAAACTTAATGGAAATGTGTTCATTATATGGAGTTAAGTAGAGCAATGGAAGATTTACAAAAGACCCAAATTGAACTTCTAAAGGTGAATGCTACAGTATGGGAAATAAAAAATACAAGAAATGAGATTAGTGTCAGATTAGATATTGCAGAAGAAAGGATTAATGAATTGGAAGACATAGCAATAGATACTATCAAAAATGAAATGGAGATGAAAAAAATCAATCAAAAATTATTATAACATCAGTAAGCTATAGCACACCTTTTCTCCATGTAATTGGAACCCCTAAAAAGGGAGGGAAAGAGGGAGACTGGATATTAGTGGAATGAATAATGGCTGGAAGCTTTCCAAATTTGATGAAAATATTCCATGAGACCCAATATACCCCAGGCATAAGAAACATGAAAACCTACATTAGGGCACATTTTAATCAAATCGCTCTAAACCAGCATTAAGGAGAAAATCTTAAAAGCAGGCAGAACAAAAGACATGTAGAAGAACAAAGATGAGAATGATGTCAGGTTTCTTGTTAGAAACAATGCAAACTATTGATTAACACCTTTAACATGCATAGAGAAAAAAAGCCTATCAAGTGAATTCTGTACCCAATGAAAGTGTATTTAAAAAATGAAGGCAAAACAAAAAATTGTCAAATGAGGAGTGCCTGGCTGGCTGAGTCAGTAGAACATGTGACTCTTGATCTTGGGGTCCTGAGTTCAAGTTCCAACTTGGGCGTGGAACCTACTTAAAAAAAATGTTAATTGAGAGTGATGGATGTGTTCATTATTTTGATTGTGGTGTCTTTTTGTTTTTGTTTTGTTTTGGGTTTGTTTTTTTTTTTTTTTGGTCTAGATAAATGTCAATCAGAACTTTTCAAAGAACCAACTTTTAATTTTGTTTGTCTTCTATTTTTTACTCTTCTATTTCATTAGTTTCTGCTTCTCCTGCTTTCTTTTTGTGTATTTCACTCTTCATTGTTTAGAATTATTTCTCTTAAGAGGTGAAAGCTTAGGTTATTGATTTGCAATCTTTTCAACATAGGTCGTTAAAGCTATAAAGTCCTTCTAAGCACTGCTTTTGCTGCATCTCATAAATTTTGATTATGTTGCTTGTATTTTTATTCAACTTGAAATTCTCCTTCTATTTCTGTTTTTGCTTCATCTGTTTTAGGACTTTTATTAGATGCATGCATGTTTATAACGGTTGTATTTTTTTTTTTAATTTTTTTTTTTTAACGTTTATTTATTTTTGAGACAGAGAGAGACAGAGCATGAACGGGGGAGGGTCACAGAGAGAGGGAGACACAGAATCTGAAACAGGCTCCAGGCTCTGAGCCGTCAGCACAGAGCCCGACGCGGGGCTCGAACCCACTGACCGCGAGATCGTGACCTGAGCCGAAGTCGGACGCTTAACCGACCAAGCCACCCAGGCGCCCCCGGTTGTATCTTTCTGACTAACTTTTAACATTATAAAGTGTTTTTGTCTCTAGTAACATTCATTTTTCTTAACATCTGTTTTGTTGGATATTACTAAAACTATTTACTTTTTTTCTTTTTTAAAAAATTTTATTTATTTTGAGAGAGACAGAGGCAGTGCAATAAGGGGAGGGGCAGAGAGAGAGAGAGAGGGAGAGATTGAGAATCCCAAGCAGGCGCCACACTGCCAGCACAGAGCCCAACACAGCGCTCTAACTCACGAATCTGTGAGATCATGACCTGAGCTGAAATTGAGTCTGATGCTTAACCGACTGAGCCACCCATGTGCCCCAAGTTATTTACTTTTAATATGTTTGTTTTTTTGAATCAAAATACGTCTCCTGTAAACAGGATACAATTGGATCTTTTTTAAAAAAAAATTTAGCCGTATAATCTCTGCTTTTTCATTGGCATTTTTAATCCATATACATTTAACATACTTAATAATGTAGTTAGACTTATGCTTGCCATTTTGCTATTTGTTTTTTTAAATTTTATTATTAATTTTTTAATTCTTTGTTTTTTAAAAAATTTTTAAATGTTTATTTTTGAGAGAGTGCGACAGAATGTGAGCAGGAAGGGGAAGGGCAGAGAGAGAGAGAGAGAGACAGAGACACAGACTCCAAAGCAGGCTCCAGGCTCTGAGCTGTCAGCACAGAGCCTGATGTGGGGCTCGAACTCGTGGACCGTGAGATCATGACCTGAGCTGAAGTCAGACGCTCAGCCGAGCCATCAGGTACCCCTAAAAATTGCCTTTTTTAAAAAGAAAAAGGACCTTACCAAAATATTAAAGGGTTGTGCTTCTTCCTTCATTTTAGATTTTATTGGTTCTGGAAACAGAACTTTATAGAATAGAAACCTTGGGCCTTAAGGAATGGCTGTCTGAGGATGATGATTGGTATGCGATGTTAGTACATAGTAGTAGTAGTAGTAGTAGTAGTAGTAGTAGTAATAATAATAATAATAATGAACATGACCTTCCCTTTAGTGGAACCAAAGCGTATGGATACAAAACAATATACTTTGGGCAGGATTTGGTTCTTCATTTGTCGGTCTCATGTCAGATACATGTGTCTGGTGGGTCTAGATGGAATGGATATTATACATTAAAAGCAATAGCAAACCTTCCAAACCTCTCATATACAGGAGGCTTAGTATCCTGCAAGCTGATGGGCATAAAGTGCTATAATTCCCATAGGTTTACAACTGCAGGAAGAAAGTCTGGGTGATTCATTTTCTGTCATATGTTTCTTGAATTGTTGGGTATTTTGGTATCAACTTTCCTGTTGAGAGTTTTATGTTTTAATGACAAAACTTTACTGGAAATTATAGCTTGGAAAAGAGAACCACTCTCCTGCTTCTGCAAAAAGCTAGGTAAAACATTGATATAGGGTAAAGTAGCTGTGGAGTTTTATATTCAGATTGTATGAACGGTAAACAGAGCATCTAAAATAACCACTTGCACATTGCAACAAACACATCATCATTTGCTTAAAAAAGAGTTATAATTACAGTTGACGAAGCATGGACACCATAAAAAATGCATTAGTTTGGCTTGACACATTAATTACCTGTTTTTGCAGATGTTTTTATGTATTGTTGTGTGAACAGTTTACAAAATAATTACAGGAAAGTCGTATGGAAAATAAACTAAGTGGGTGGTTTCTCGTCTAAATATTTTCATTCATGTGAATCTGTGTGAGGCACAGCTGCTCTATTGCAAAAGCAGAGAGAGAGATGAGGATTCTCGAAGGGTTTTTTATTAGATGGTCTCGGTCATCAGTATTCTCACATTTTCATATCTTTAGCAACACAGTTTAAAAACATTAAAATGAGAGGGTTGATTTTAATTCCTGTGATTACTGGAAAAGGCCTAATTCTGGTCAGAAGAAGTATAGATATCTATGAGTATTTTACGTTTTATAATTAAAAACAATGTTTTTAAAGTTTATTTATTTTGAGAGAGAGAGAGAAAGAGAGCGTGCGCAAGCAAGGGAGGGTCAGAGAGAGAGGGAGAGAGAGAATCTCAAGTAGGCTCCCTACTGTCAGCACAGGGCCCGGTGGAGGGCTCTAACCCATGAACTGTGAGATCGTGGCCTGAGCTGAAATCAAGAGTCAGAGGCTTAACTGACTGAGCTACCCAGGCACCCCAGATATCTATGAATCTGAACAAAACTAAAAAATCCTAAGTGGAAAAACTACTGGCATTTATTCATTTATTTCATTTATTTTAGTACTAGCAGTTAGGCACTTTGAGAAACAGTGGATCATTATTTCATGATTACTTGAGTTACATAGTTTTATTGAACTTACAGCTTAGTTAATCGTAATAGTTAAATATTGAGTCTTATGTAAATTACACAGAAGTTCAGTTTATCTATTCTCTTATAGGAAGTTTTGAAAATGTAAATCTGTTTTTTCTCGTGAGCTTACTGTTTTGTCATTAGTGGTCTCAAAGTGTTTTTCATTTGAAAAATAACCAGGTCGTTATGCAGGCATTTGTACTTTTATAAACTGTTAAGAAACAGATTTTCCCAAATTGTAATTGTCAAACAATAAAAAGTTCATAGACTTCATTCTGTTTTACATAGTGGTTTAAAATTATGTAGAGTATCTGTGCTTGTGTTTCTCTCAATGATGCTGTCATGACAATTTTTCATAAAATTAAAGTAGATTGTCCTTTTAGTCCAATCATGCCACTTCTACACCATGTTCCTCCATATTCCTTTTGTATGATTTCACCTGTATAGATGATGAAGACAATAATTATAGATGACATTTTCTGAAATACATATACTGTAACTAGTTAAGTTAGAGAAAGGCATTCAGTTATAGAAAGAGGTAATTAGAATATCTCTAGGCATGAAGGCATTGTTATCAGACCAGGTAGTATTGGTGCAAATACTTCATTCATTCATTTGCTTCATTCATTTGCTTTCCCATTCATTTATTTAACAAAGTATTATTGAGGGTCTTCTATATGTGATGTTCTGTGATAACATTGAAATGACTGTAAACATTGAGATAACTGTGTCTGGAACATCATAGATGCTCAGTAACTAGTAGGCATTTTGCCTTCTGAAGAGGATAGGAGGGACAGGAATATGTATGTTCTTACTTGTTGGGGAGGAGTTTCTTTGTTATCCTGAAATGGGCTTCAAATGTGATACACTGTGGGAGTGTCACTTGGCACAGTCTGAATTGTTTAAATGTGGAGATAAATATCTTCATGTTAAATAAATCTGGAAATGGAATGGAGTCTGTCTAATTCTGATATACACTAGTAGTTTAATTTTTTAAGGTGGGGATGCATTTAAGGAGTCTGTGAAACTTCTAGGATTCAGAAGAATTAACTGCTTATAATCAGCAATTCTGCTGATTGCTTTACATCATCTTAAAGGAAAATATGTGATCCAACGTCATGATATCAAGAAAACAGTTTGTTGGAGTCCTCCATGGATTTACCACTTCTTAAGATGTCTCACTTAGAGCCGGTGAAAGAAATGAGCAAAAGCCTTTGTGGGGCTTGGGGGACTTTCGTATTTACTAGTATAGTAGATAAACAATTCTTAGTCTATGTGGAGTTTCATTTCCATATTTCCCCTTATTTTTATTCCATCTCAGAAGGCAAAATTTTAGCTCCTAAGTTTTAATTCTTCATTCCTTTTCCTTCAGGGTATCTCAAGCTCTTTTTAAACTTTTTATCTTAATCTTTTAGAAGCCATGGATAACAGCATAAGGGACACTTAGGGATTGACTGTCTGTCTGTCTGTCTATCTGTCTATCTAGACAAGAGTTTATTGTCATAAAGAGACTGGCCAGGTGATGTTGTTTTGAGGGGATTGACTAGTTTTTTGGGCACTCCCCTTTAAAATGCAAAACAAAAAATGGATTAGGGAACAGGAAGGAAATAGTTGAATGTAGAAGACTGTCTCTGTAGGCATTTAACACTCTATGATCTAATGATGTGTTAGTTTTCATTCAGTATTAACTGATAGAAAAACTACTAAGCAACACTGAAAGGAGTCCTAATTGAGGCAATGCCTGGACATGAATATTATTATCACTTTTGCTTTTACTATTCTTTGGTGACTCTTTGGACTTTTGGGGTCACATAACACTTGGTTTTGAAAAGACATTAATATGGAGTTGGTTAAATGCAAATGGGAAGCAGATTCCCTGACTGACCCGGTTTTGTTATATGTGGAAAGGCTGATGGCCCCAGTTGTGGTAGACATGTAGAACCATAAATTACTGTTTTTCTCAAGGTTGCCTTTTGTTGTCAGAACACTTAGCATAAGTCAGAAATGGTAGGCTATACCTGAGAAGAACAAAAAAACCCATTAACTATAATAAATCAGCACTAAAAAAAAAAAAAGCAACTATAACCACCAAGGCCATCGTATTCTTTTTGCTACTAAAGTTGTTACATTAAAAAAAAGAAAAAAGTAAAAGAAAAAAAGGGAAGCACCAATAAACAAAAACTCATTCCCTTAAAGCCAGGATGATTTGAATGTTCTTTCTAATGTAATAAATCTGAGTAAAAATCAGGCATGTTTGACCAAGAATATAGTGGCATAGGGGTTACTGGAGAGTGTTTGTTGGAGTAGAGAAACAGAGATAAGAATATAAGATGTGCCTAAAGTAGGGTCTTATGCGAGGATTAAAGTCCGTGTGTGTGGCAAAAATCAAGTATAGTTCAAATAGTCTTAAAAATCCCTTAAGATTTTCCGTGAAATACAGATGTAGGCATACTGTCTTCCAAATAGTCTAACATGGCCAGTTTTTCCTTCAGCATTGATTTTCTTTTGTTGAACCAGTGAGGCATTAGCTATATTCTTTTTGGTGACTAAGGGTAGAATAACAGACTTGGAAGAACTACTTTTTATTCTGGTTTGTGAAGCTGATTTTCACTAGTGCTGTGAATAATAATGTCTTTTTATTTTATTTTATTATTATTATTATTTTTTTTTATGGGTAAAGGAGAAAAGACCTGTGTTTTCCAAAGAAATCCTTGGGTAACAAGGATGTTTTGAGAGACCGCTTTTTCTCAGAAAGGCCCATTCTCTTGCACACTGTGTGAAATGTATACCTCTTTGTAGCTATAATTTTCGTGTGTCCTTGTCTGTCATTTCCAGTCTCTTTCTGTCTGATTCTCCTCTGCTGTGTTGTCTGATAGGCTCCTGTCTCAACTCCTCATGCTTATTTTCTCATCCTCTTTGTTCCCATACTCACTGGTACTTGTCCCGTGCTCTGTATTTTTCTTGTTCTACTCAGTAACAGTAGCACAATCCACTTCAAATTCAGTCACCTGAAGTGTGGTATCATAAGACCTGGTTTCAGTTTTAGTCTCTCATATTAACTTTTTAACTCAAAAGACATTCCACATCCCTGAGCCTTAATTTCTTAGCTGTGTCAGGAAGGTAATATATCTCTTGTAAATAGAATTCGATGTAATGAAAGGAATGCCAAGTAGTGATGGCTTCTTGAATAAATTAGAATTTTGTGATTCCGTTATGTATAGACTGTGCCTTCTATAAAACTTAGTAGCAAGTCAGAGTTGGTGCTCTGAGAAATGCAGGCCAGGCAGTCCAGCGTTTCTAAAAATGTCAAGAACAACTTTGGACTTTCTCCTCATTTCTATTCAGCTACACCCGATTTTTTCACAGATCAGACTCTGTAATCACCCTATCCCCATCCTCTCTCCTGATCAGAAATTGGTAAGGTGAAGAAGTCCAGGTTGACACAGTATACGTAACACATGTTTTTGGCACAGTGGGACTTTTTGACATAAAGGGTAGTAAATAAGGGGAGTAGGTTTTCTCTTTTCGATGCCAGAGCCCAGTGGAAATTCTTACTGTATCTGAAATTAATAGAAATGTAGAGAAACTTATTGAAGGTACTGGTTTATCCTTAAGTAGAATGTAAAATATGTATCCATTTTTAAAAGCATTTGCTGGGTGGCTCAATCAGTTAAGCGTCTGTCTCCCTCTTGATTTCGGCTCAGGTCATGATCGTGAGATGGAGTCCTGCATCATTGGGCTCTGTGCTGAGTGTGGAGCCTGCTTAAGATTCTCTCCCTCCCTCACTCTCTGCTCCTCCTCTACGTGCACACATGCACTGTTTCTCTAAAAAAAAAAAAAAAAAAAAAATGCATTTAGTAAGTGTCTACCTGGATATAATACTGAAGAGGTAATAGCTGCATGACCTATAATGGGATTAAAAGTTGAATTTCAGATAACTTGGTTTTCCTGGAAACATAATCATTATGGGCTGTGTTTGTGTCTTAACAGGAAGCTTAAGAAATTAGGGTTAGGGGGGGGCGCCTGGGTGGCGCAGTCGGTTAAGCGTCCGACTTCAGCCAGGTCACGATCTCACGGTCTGTGAGTTCGAGCCCCGTGTCAGGCTCTGGGCTGATGGCTCAGAGCCTGGAGCCTGTTTCCGATTCTGTGTCTCCCTCTCTCTCTGCCCCTCCCCCGTTCATGCTCTGTCTCTCTCTGTCCCAAAAATAAATAAAAACGTTGAAAAAAAAATAAAAAAAAAAAAAAGAAATTAGGGTTAGGGTCTACTTAAAATTTTTAATCAGTTAAAATCTGTTTCAAGTCATACTTATCAATACTTTGATCAGTTAAAATTATTCCAGAAATCTATAGATTAATCTTTTCTTCCTCGTAGTCACAAACCTCAGTAAGTGTCCAGCAGTAAAAATGCGCAAGAGGTGATTTTCATCCTTGGCTGCCGCTGTTGAGCAGCAGTGCTTGTGACCTAGTTTTAAGGGGCTGGTAAGGAAGGAGGCATAGTATGTATATTTAAGGTTACATTTAAAAAGCCTTCCAGTATTCCATCACTCCATTGTTGTTTCCATGGAAGCGGAACCACTATCAGCAGCAGGAGTCCATTTCAACTGCTGGCTTCCGGTTTTGTTTCTCTGTTACTATGGAGACTGCCTAGAAAGCAGCAGAGGCACCAAAAGTTTAAAAAACAATGATTTGATTACAAAATATGGTTTTAACTCCAGCTTGCAGTAGGTGCTCCACAGCCTTGGCATTTTTGAATTTCAAATTATTTTGGGAAACGAATTGATTTTTTGGGACGAAAACAAATTTTGAGGTTGTATTAACGCTTGTAAGCACACTGCATTAAATAAATTGCCATAGTTTCCGTTACACCTTAGCCTACGATGAATAAGAAATTTTAAATGAGGGATCTAAATTAAATTAGGGCATGAAAAGGTATAACCTGATATGAGAAACTCTAATGATAATGGGAGCAGCCGTTAGACTAAGTCCATGAAAGGTAAACTCAAAACTAAAGGATGAGTAATGTGTAGAAATAGTAAATGTTTCTCATTTCTGTGGCACATTTTACCTTCACAACATATTTCAATTGCTTAGGTAGCTTTCACAGATAGATTATATAAAAATAAAAGCTTGAGTTTAGAAATTAAATACGTTTTAAGGACAGAGAGGGATCATACTGAAATTTAAAAATTTTAATTTTAATTGAAGTTTGAGGTGTTGGAGAGTTAATAAATGTAGACTGTTCCATAGTTAAAAAGCAATAGAGATTCCCCCCCACCCCCCAGCCCCCAAGACTAGTTACAGTTTTGAAGTATTCATAAAGGAGAGAAGAGATGAAACAGTCATGTAAAAGCTGTGAAAGGAAGGTTTTTAAGCAAAACAGCACCCCCAGCTCTGTTGCCGGTTTCCTTTGAGGGCTCTATTCAGTCTGGATTCTTCAGTTTGCATGCGAGAAAATCCACATTTGAACTCTAGTAGGCCAAGAATGGCAGGAATGTAGGTTTGGCTGAAATCTGGGACCCCAGTCGCACCAGGATTCCTTTTTTTGTCTCTCATAACTGCTTCCCTCTGTTAAATTCCTTCTTTCTGATTGGCTCTTAGCGCATTGGCAGAGACTGTGGCTGTTGGCAGTTCCCAGTCCTCTTATTTCCAGCGTCAATAGCAAAGAGGGACTGATTGGCCCAGTTTGTGTTGGGCCAATTCCTCCCTTCTCCACCTGTGGCCAAGGGGGCGGGATTTTGTGATTGGCTCAGCTTGTGACAGAGGGCTCACCCTTGACTATGTAGTAATAACGGACAGAAGGGCTGAGATCTGAAGCACACTAGCAGTTTTCATTCAGACCACCCCGTTAAGTGATGGTGGTGGTGGCTGAAGGTGAAGGGCTACGAAGGCGAGAAGGGAGCATTTCTCAGAAGAAATAGAAGATGCTATTCCAGGCAGAAATAAGGTTTTTCTAGTCGTCATCTTTTGGGGAAGAATGCCTGCTTTACTGTAATTCAGTTCAGTTCACTTCAGCAAAACAGAAACATTATTTTGTAGGACTTGGTTTAGAGAAAAACCAAGATCAAAAACCTTTACAATTTAGTGCTTCCTATATACAGCTGTCTTTGTTGTAGTATCTTTTATGTATATTGTCTCCTTTAATCTCTGCAGTCATTTGAAGTATATGTTTCCATTTTATTTTATTTTTTTTAATTTTTTTTTCAACGTTTTTATTTATTTATGGGACAGACAGAGACAGAGCATGAACGGGGGAGGGGCAGAGAGAGAGGGAGACACAGAATCGGAAACAGGCTCCAGGCTCCGAGCCATCAGCCCAGAGCCTGACACGGGGCTCGAACTCACGGACCCTGAGATCGTGACCTGGCTGAAGTCGGACGCTTAACCGACTGCGCCACCCAGGCGCCCCTATGTTTCCATTTTAGAGAATGAGGAAGAGGGTCAGAGAGTTGAAGTATGATGTATCATCGGTCACATGACTAGGGAGGCAGAGCCAGAATTTAGATAACCAGGGTTTCTAGAATGTAATCAAGGGTGCTTTCCACTGTATGATACTTGCTTTTTGGTTAACTTCATTCAGAAGATGCATAGAGTGAATTATAAAAAAAAGTACTGTGTATGAAGTGCTTAGATAAAAATGAGTCGTGAAAATATAGAATATTATTTATGAAAGGAGCCTTAGAGATTGTATACTACAGTGGTTTTTCAAATGTTTTAACTTTCAGTCATGGAATCGTTTCTTCAAATGAAATGTATCACAGGTATATAAGATGGGTAAGAGCATAGGATTGTCCTGCTCTGGAGAAGAGAGAGCCCAGAACTTCATGGGCTGGGCCACCTGTGTTTTGAAGTCTTGAGTATTCTGGAGGCCATTTTGAATATGCTTTGTTTAGAGAAACTGAGAGCCAGACAGGGTAAATGACTTGTTCATTTTCATATAGTTGTATATTACAGGGATTTCAATTACATTCTTCCTTTTTTTTCTTTTTTTAAAGTTTTTATTTTATTTATTTATTTTTTTTCCAACGTTTATTTATTTTTGGGACAGAGAGAGACAGAGCATGAACGGGGGAGGGGCAGAGAGAGAGGAAGACACAGAATCGGAAACAGGCTCCAGGCTCTGAGCCATCAGCCCAGAGCCCGACGCGGGGCTTGAACTCACGGACCGCGAGATCATGACCTGGCTGAAGTCAGACACTTAACTGACTGCGCCACCCAGGCGCCCCTTAAAGTTTTTATTTTAATTCCAGCTAGTTAACATACACATTTCAGTTACATTCTTACTTTCAGTTGTAACGTGGGTGACAGTTTGTTGTTAATGAAAAAACATGAAGCTTACAAAAATCAGAGTGAATTCAGAGTTACCCTAAATGATTTTATTCTCCAGTTTCTTGCTACTTGGGCAGCATATCATATCCATGTCATGACTCTTATTAAACATCTGTTGCATTTAGTTCCAGTTTGTTGGGTTGGGCAATTGCATAGTACCTGGACTAGGCTAGTCTTCTGTATGCAGAGCTTTTTATACTACATTTCTTATATATCAACTCCTCCTATAGAAGGTATCAGGTTCTCTCTATATATTTTAATAGGAAAATTTCAGAATTTGGATAAATCAAATATATAGTGGTAATATTGAGACCTTGCTGATACTAATAACTTTGATGTCTGTTCCAACTTTGAATCTCTCTTCTTTTTAGTTAGAAATGAGAACAAGTAGCTGGGGAGCCTGGGTGGCTCAGTTGGTTAAGCGTCCACCTTCAGCTCAGGTCATGATCTCATGGTTTGTGGGTTCGAGCCCCACGTCCAGCTCTGTGCTGACAGCTCAGAGCCTGGAGCCTGCTTCGGATTGTGTCTCCCCCTCTCTCTGCCCCTCCCCCACTCACACTCTTT